ACAGTTAAGGAACTGATCGCTAAAGCGACAATGCTCGCACATCAGGACACCCGAGCATTCACTAGCATCGCAGTAAACGCATCCGACTCAGCAATCGGAGGAGTCTTGCAACAATGGATTACAACTCCTGGCAACCCTTGGCATTTTTCTCTAGAAGGTTGCTAGACACCGAATCGAGGTACAGCACATTCGGTAGGGAACTCCTAGCTATGTATTGTGCTGTACGGCATTTCCAACACTATATCGAAGGCCGTGAATTCATTCTTTTCACGGACCATAAACCGCTCACTTTCTCATTAAACTCTCCTTCAAACAAGTACTCTCCCCGTGAGTCTCGACAACTGGACTACATTTCGCAGTTTACTTCAGACGTTCAACACATCTCTGGAGCAAACAATGTAGTTTCAGACGTCTTATCTCGCATAACTTCCTTGAACAGTTTCCAAGGAATCGACCTTCTTAAACTCGCCGAGCTTCAAAAAGAAGACACTGATCTTCAGCACGAGTTATCGTCCACAACCCTTAAACTACGCATCAAACAGATGGGAACAGGTAAGGAAACCTTACTTTGTGACACATCTACAGGTAGGGATCGCCCAATCGTGCCGAAACATTATCGACGCAATGTCTTCAACACATTGCACAAACTTTCTCATCCAGGTGTTCGTGCAACCATCAAGCTTATAGCAGAACGGTTTTGCTGGCCTGGCATGAATAAAGACGTGAGGGAGTGGGCACGCTCCTGTGTGAGCTGCCAAAAATCTAAGGTTATCAGACACAATAAATGTCCCTTAGGCTCATTTAAAACTCCCGATGCTCTGTTCGACCATGTTCATCTGGATTTGGTAGAACCTTTGCCATATTCAAATCGATACGCCTACCTCTTAACCTGCGTAGACCGTTTCACTCGACGGCCAGAAGCAGTACCTATCAAGGACATCACTGCTGAAACAGTGGCTCGCGCTTTAGTCGAACGATGGGTAGCAAACTTCGGCTGCCCTTCAACCATCACTACAGATCGCGGACGTCAGTCTGAATCTGAACTTTTCCGTCGTCTGACCACACTATTAGGAAGCACTCGCTTCTGAACGACTGCCTACCACCCACAAGCAAACGGGTTGGTAGAACGCTTTCACCGACAACTAAAAGCTTCACTATCAGCTGCAAACGTTTCACAGTGGACCGACGCTCTTCCACTCGTCTTACTAGGTATCCGCAATTCAGTGAAAGCTGACATTGGATACACAGCGGCTCAACTCGTTTATGGAACGACACTTCGACTTCCAGGAGAATTCGTGGATCCTTCATCCTCTTCAATGAACATGGATCTAACCTCCTACACGAACAGGCTTACAAACGCAATGCGTTCAGTTAAACCTGCTTCCACTCGACCTCAACCAACTGATGTTTTCGTTCAACCTGACTTACGATATAGTACACACGTTTTCGTTCGTCGAGACTCGCTTTGACGACCATTCGAATCAGCATACGAAGGACCCTTCAAAGTTCTTCAACGTGAATCTAAGTACTATATAGTCGATAAGAACGGAACAAACGATAGCATCAGCATCGATCGCTTAAAAGCAGCGTATTTAGAAGGAAATCCTATTCACGTCGATTTTCCTTCGTTACAATCGAACGACACAACTCCACTCATAATTCCTCAACCGACAACCAACACTAGCGATGATACTCCGAATGTATCTGAAAATAAACCTTAAACGACGCGTTCTGGAAGAAGAGTAAGATTTCCAGAACATTTAAACGACTACTGCACGTAAAGCACTACTCGACATTTTATATTATCTCGATTTTTCTTTTTACGATATACAATTTTTTTTTTAAAAAAGAATTTTAATATGCTTATATATTTATATTTTTTACTTAAAAAACAAGCAAAAAAAAAACATTTTTTAACGCTATTATGTGTGCTTGAGTATATTTTCCATTTTTTCGCCGACATTGAGTTTTTACGCACATACGAGTGTATTTCGACATGCACTTACACTTTCTTTTTTCTTTTCCAAAACGGCTGGAAAAGAACGATGACATTTATGAGGAACTGAAATTTTCATTGTACATTTTCTTTTTTTACTATGTTGTACCTCCGTCCCATATAGTAAGGAAAGACGACCAGACGCTGCTACATTTAGTAAGCTATCAGAAGAGTGTTTACCAACGACAAACTCGTTGGGTTTAAACTTCTGGCTGGCCACGTCTTAGGGTCGTCACTGCCCCACTAGGGGGGGAGTGATCTGTAGCGGTAAATAAATCCCCAAAATAAATAGCTCTAAGTTTTCGACATTGGATGCTGACCATGTTTTAGTGGACTCATCTAACTGAAGGCGCTCGGTCATGCATCCGCACCAGATCACGTGTGGTAACGCTGTGTTCAACATCAACCGCAATCGCTAGCCAGATTAGATCAGAGAATTCCGATATATTGGTCATCGCCAAATATACTCTTCCGATCTCCTCGACTCTGTCTTTTGATTTCTCTTGGTGGTTACGAATTATATTAGAAGGTGTTACTGGTAAAAGCGTTGTCAAACACTGAATACCTGTGACATCACCAGCATATTTCTAGCTGTGTTTGGCAGACAAGTCACTTAAGAATCAGCAGAGACTGCAACGCACTTTGCACAGCTAATAAGATAGTGGCTTGCAGCATTTTTAATATAAAGCCAGAGTGGTTACGATGCACATTGTGATACCACTTGGTTCAGTCGTTATACCTCATTCCATTCTCAAACGAAAAGAAACATGTGGGTGTACCACAGCGTTGTTTTGTTTGCCTCATTAAAATCGTTAGGTGAGCTCACAGGGAGAACACAAAAGAAAAACTCTTTAAACTTGAAAGAAAAATGAGAGACTGGTTTCTAGAATATGTTTCTAAAGCTCTATACGTGATAAACACTGAACACCAGTAATTGAGATTTCTTTGTTACTGTAACGGAAAGTTAAACCATAATAGTTATAAACCAGCTTTCATACCTTAGGATGCAATCAAAACTAAAAGATTTACTCGGCGAGGAAAACTAGGAACGCTTTTTTTAATAGTGCGCCAGGAAATAAGTAATTTTCGCCCTATGTCTGCCATGAATTATTCACCGTTTATGAAAAGATTATCCATCCTTTGATGTGTCACTCTAAAATACGTCTTTCGATAGTAACACCATTCTATGATTAGCAAGTGAATTGTTGTTTATTCACTCCAGACAGGTTGAAAACTACCAAACGCGCAATAATTCTCACTCAGTTCAATAATAAAGTTAGTGATGCAATCGATATATTCGCTGTCAACAGGTTTCGACCGTGTTTGATATATGTTCACTATCTAACGGATGGTACAGTGCGTGGAGCGTTAGTGCGGCTTTGGATTATGATTATTTGCAACAAAGATTCAGTAAACATTTCATGTAGCGGCTTATCGCAATCATACCACCACATTTTAGGAACTGCGAATGTAGGAAGCAACCTCATACAAGTGTAACTTTAAGCTCTTCTCTAGACTGTCGAGCACAGAGCCTTGGTTTAGCAAAGTTAGGACAAGTAATCTATTTGGCTTGATAAGCTTGTACCGTGGCGTCGAGTTGAGGTTAACTATGAACACCGCTACCAAGAAACACATGCCAAGTAAATCAGAAGGCGTAGGTTGAACGTAACCAAATAAATCCATAAAATCCCCGAGAAGCCAAATATCAGAAGACAGTTAATGGACCAAATCGAGATATATTCGCTGGCGATCTCGTGGTATCGAAAGGATACCGAGATCGTGCCAGGATACAAACTTGGTTACAGAACGTAACTGAATTCGAGCGAAGTCACAATCAAAGTGTAAGAATAAGAATGGAAGCACAATATAGCTGTCATTAGCACAGTCAAACAAAAGCACATTAAAACAAGCACTGGTACAGTTGGTTATAATAATAATTGTTTTTATTAAATCAGTCGTGTTCTCGTGATAAATGTGAGTCACTACAAACTTTATCTGGCTGTGTAACCTTTCTAGTTAAATTTCTTTTTCTAATTGGGTTGCACTTAACTTAGCTAACTATCCTGTGTGCGCTGAAATGTTTACTGTCAAAACAAACTTATAACGTGCAATCCCCCTGCTAAAACTCCTCACCAAGTTTCATTATAACATACAGTTTACTTTGAATAGCGTTTGGATATATTGAAATCGTCGTATGATATGGAGTAGACGGTACTACTCAACCGTCGGTTTTAAAATAATAGGCATATATACCATTGGAAAACGGGAAGAATTGGTGAACGTTGAAGTGTTTAAGCATTAACTTTGACCCGGAAATTCGTAGATGAATCTGAAAAGAGTTATGTGCAAATCGAATGTCTTTGTTTAATATAAAGCAAAACTTTACTCATTTCAACGTCAAACGTGATTATGTTGCAAGGAAAATTAGTGAAGAGCGTTACACTTTATCCGGCAGAAATTAACATGCTGCTAAACTATCACTGCTACTGCTGGACGTCATTAGGTTATTTTGCTGGAAATCAATTTAGCAGCTCTGAATCTTCATGGATTACTTCAGTTACAGACCTAGATGGGTCACCCGTTTGCGTTTGGGTAACATCTTGGGTGGATTGTTATGAAAGCTGCGTAGCATGGTTTTTTCTAAGTCACAAAGCTGTCCGGGTTTTGGAGTAGTCCGAATCTTATTTACTACTTGTTGAGGATCGGGAATTTCATTTATGCCAATGATACTTAATGATTACAACTACTTGCTAGGAAAGTGTTGTAGTAAACTCTTCACGTAAGCCAGTTATAAGTTTCACGTATTTAATCCCTCAGTTAATTAAAAAAATTATTTGTAGCATATAACTCACCTGAACTTTTTACACTACCGAGAAATCCTGTTGTGATATTGGTCCATATGAAAGCGAATTTTGTTGTGTGATGACGTAAGGAATTTAGTGTTTTTCTCTTTTCGATTCTGAAACATTGCCCTACTAATAAGGCGCGTATATTAATCTCATAAATGGTCGTTACACGTAAGCATATTCGTATACTCTCTTATGTATTTATAGGTTTTAAAGATCTTCCCCATGTACGTCCTTTGATAACTACAGCAGTCGTTTTATGGATCTGCGTAATTATCTATTTGAGTTCCAGTTTCTTCAATTTGGAAAGTAGTGATCAGCAAAGTTTAGTTTGTCAAAACTTACTGGATGTAATTACTGGTTTAAAATCGCAAGTCGATATCGGGTCGGCAAATTTAAGGATATATCTTACGTCGTACAATGCTAAGTTAGTTATAGTTTTTAAAATTAATTAATCTTTCACTAAAACTATTCCTATTCAGGCACTTGAATCGATCCACTTAATTATATATTTTGCATTTACTTATAATGTACAAAAGAAAACAGTAGTAAGATTGAGATGAGGAGGGGCAAGTGACGTGCCACGTTGATGTCATCTGGTGTGGAATTTAACTCTCTAATCCATAGATGGTGAGCAAATTCTGAGGACTTCACTAAATCCTGGTGAACATTGGCACTAGGTCTAGAAACAACATAGGCAATTCCTGATTGGATTCCTGTCAATAGTTGCTTATATCCTGTCCGTCTTGATGGGGTAGTAAAAAGTTGGAGACAATAGCACATGCTGTTGCGTTTTCATCGTTTCTGCCTACACTCCAAGCAACTGCAGCTTGGTCCCAGTGAAAGATGCGCTTGGACGTCATAGTTGTAGTAGACCCAGATCGGCAAACTAAGGCCAACTTGGAAGCAGATGTGTCTTTTATTGTCTCAGCCTAACGATGACCGACTGTCGTATTTATAATAAGGATTCTTAACGGATACAAACTTCAAGCATAAAGAAATATTGTCTAACCTGGAAACCTCCACTACTAGAAGGGCTCGACAAAAGGCTGTCACTTTAGTAGTGCAGGCTTGGACTTCTGTCATCACCCTAGTGAGAGCACGCATTTCTATGAGTCTTTACACGTAGGACAGTCACATCCGAAAGAGGCCTTATGGATCGTTTCGAAGATTAAAACGTTGAGGGTACATTTAGGGAAGGACTAGCTAAGCAATTAGTTGATTGTATTGAGGCAGTGTATATTAAAGAGGTTTCGAATCATGTCCAAACGTCTATAAATACTTCAGTAGCATCTACCAGCAACTTAAATCAAGGTTTAGGAAAAATCAGTGGGTTTTGATGGTATCTCTTAAACTGACCTGTTCTAAAACTCATCCTGTTAAACTTGAAGAATGGTAATGAAGCTCGATAAAGAGTTTACCCAATGATCATAAGTAGTGGTAGACAACGAAAGCCAAAGGGATGGAAAAGAGGCACAGTAGGTAACTAGATAAATATTGCGGCTCATTAATGAGACGAATATATGAAAGTCTTTAGTGAGATCCCAAGAAAAGCAGTGGTTATTCACTCCCAGTCCATAAGGTTAGACCGTTTGGTAGAACACTTTAGATAATACTTCAAATGAACTGCAGTTGCGCATTATTTTCAAACGACGTGCATGAAAAACTGACTTACGTTTCTCAACACTTGAGATTAGAAAGCCTACATGGAATCTAAAACGAAGGTAAGCAGTGGGGTTTAATAGAGTAACGCTGGAGATCTTCAAGGATAGTGGTCCAATCGCAGTTATCAGACCCACAAACACTATCTAGAGATTGAGAGCTCGACGTATTCCCATCCGTCTGGTTTTGACCAGTGATCGTTATGGTTAGGGAGAAAGGACAAGTATCGTCTTCGACAACCATAGTGGAATCAGTTTGACTGATGTAGTGTCTAAAATACTAGCCTCCATAATCTAACGCTAAACTAAGGTTCATGAAACGGAAACTCTGGAGAACCAGTTGATTTAAACCTGGCTGTGGATGTATGTTTGCTTTTCGTTAAGATTTAGAAAAAAGGCGTACTTTTTGCCCCCGACAACAGTTGTCTTTCTTGACCTTAAGACGGCATTTGACTCTGTTGACCGAGAGGTTTCGTAACCAAAGAAGTACATTAACTTTGCTCGTGTATGTTGGTATCACCGAATGAAAAATGTTATAATTAGGCATAGACTACGAGCTAAGGATGCCAAATCAGTTGATGAGGTAATAAGTCGTCATCGACTAAGGTGATTGGGACATGTGTTGAGAATGCCTAACTATTGCATATTTCGACAGACGATGCTGTGTAGTTTATAATTAAGACAAAAGAAAACCAGGGGTGATTAAACCAAAATATGCAATCAGTCCATGAAGTCATTGACTGTTGTACTGAGCCACGTAGGTAAGTACAGATGACCTGGTTTTGGTCCGCGTAGTAACTGCTGCTCCCAGTATTCTCCCACATTTACCTTTCTGCTGACATTTCGAGCCTTGTTTTGAATGTTTGGTATATTTCGTCGTCATTTTTGCCACATTATTTTGATCTCTCGCTTTTCATCCTATGGTAATGGTATATGACAACTAGACATTGCACATCTGTCCGAGGCTCTTTGTTAATGATTGACTGAGAAGTGAACAAGCTATTTACTTTCGCCTGTTACCCCTTGTGGAGCTATCAAGCAACAAATATATTCAGTAATCCCATTTAAAAATTTGTCTTCAAATGCTGCAATATGTTTTCATGTTTTAAAAGATATCAATAATATAAATTATTATAATAGAATTTTCCGATTAATTCCATTTTTTCTGCAATAGAAACAAAAAAGAAAATACTATTGTAGAAAGAGGTAAGTTGTGTATGACAACTTCTGGTATTGACTAAATATTTTCCATATAAAACACTATGAGCTTTAAATCATTAATTACATGATCTTAATGGTATATCATACTTGCTACTGTTTTTAGTTCACCCTTAAACATTTTAATACCAACTGAAAATAATTCCTTATTGGGAATATTCATTTTCTGGGCTGTAAGTATTCACTGCATAATGTGTCAATATATTATGATATATTTACCAGTATATTCCGGTTTAATCTTATGCTTATAGGAAACACTGATATATGAGCGATGAAATATTAAAAAATTCGCTTAAGCTTGTACAATTATATATTCAAATTAACAATTTGAAAATTAGCTACATTTAAGGTAATTACATCGTTTAAAATTATAACATGTGAATCCAAGGCTAATGTTAAAGTTGCACGGAGCGATTCAAAGGACCTTTAGCGTAGGGAAACTACAATTAATGCTTTCTACACGTTCGATGGTCACTCCAAGATTGAAGTATGGATTACATAGACTAATCATCTCTTTATGTGTATGTAAATTCAAGTGTTCTTGTGAAGCAAATTATATTAAGAGGTGTCATCAGAATTTGTACATTAAACGTGGTTAATTTTCGGATTATGAATTTGAATATATAATTGTATAAGCTTAAGAGAATTTATTGAGAATATTCTTCGTTCTCATATCTGTTTTAAATATGGTGGGAATTTTTCAGCGAATAGAATGTAATCAACCCATTGCATTGAAGACACTTAACTAGTTCCTTGAGTGTAGTGTAAAGGTCATAGAGACAAAAATATCGGAATTTGTGGGAAACTTTGTTGAGTTAGGTTAGTATCCTAAACTATTCTTTAAGTCATTACTCCTTAATCAGATTCATTTAGACAGATAAGCATTAAAACGTCATGCATTTTACCAAATCGATACATTCAATACTATTTATTTATTGTTTATTTATTTGAGCACATAAATATTGGTACAAGAGGGCGCCAAATATATATGCGCCACACAAAACAATGAGAATTTAAGAAGAAGAAAAAGAAAAAAGTGGGGAACGTAAAAAATATCAAAAAACAACAATAACGAAGATATTGGTGTAAGGTGATGTAATAATAATAGTAATAGTAGGGGAACAGAAGGGTACAATCAGAAGAAATCTTTCAGTTAAGGAAGATACAATCACGTTTTATGAAGAAGGTTACAGCAGGATCGCCACTGGCTTCTATTCTGAGCCATATCTAGTAACGTCTCTAGCCACTGTGTAGCACTATCTCTCGGACCCTAGCCAGGGAGTCGTGAAGGACCAACACAAACCACCCCTTTGCAGCTTTCTTTCATATCAAGACACCATGTCATATACTGACCACCTCTCCGCTTTCTCCAACCAGTCCCAGAGTCGGCAAGCAATGCACGACGAGGAATTCTCTAGGACGACATTCGTAGAACATGTCCATGCCGCCAAAGTCGATGTTTCAAGATGGTGACACCAATTGAACTATCGTCTCCGCACCCGAACACACGATGCTGAACCTCTGCATTACTAACATGGTGCTGCCACTGGATGTTAGCAATCCTTCGGAGACAACGATAATCAAACACAGAGAGTCGTCTAACATTTTCAACTCAGAGAAGCCAGGTTTCACAAGCATGGAGCAAAACTGCTATCGTTGACGCGTTGTAGATCTGATCTTTTACAGCCAGACTAACATCAAAAAGGCGCCAAAGGTGGACCAGATTGGCATAAGCCGCTCTGGCTTTCATTATACGTGAATCGATCTCATCACTCACGCCACTACCAGTACTTATGCAGCTACCCAGATACACGAACTTCTCGACTACTTCTATCTGTTCACCATCCAGAGTAAGTACAGGACTAGAATCCTGCCAGTCTTGTAGAAGTACTTTGCACTTCGAAGGTGCAAAGCACATACCAAACCTACGGACACTGATTGCCAACTGATTAAGTGCGGATTGCATGTCTTGGGCATTATCGCACAGTAAGACAATATCATCCACATACTCAAGGTCGAGAAATCTTTCTTCAGGCAACAGATCCACACCGCCATTACTTACATCCATCAGAGCTGTTTCCAGAATGTCGTGAAGATATGATCAATACATCCTCGACCAGAACGAAACCCAGCCTACTCCTCACGAGTCAATCATTCTCGGGTTTTGAACAACCTACGAAGTATGACGGAAGCCAATAGCTTGAACGCAATCGGAAGTAGACTTATCCCCCGATAGTTGTTACAGGAACGAAGTGAACCCTTATTAAAGATAGGGACAACTATCGACTCATTCCATGACGTTGGTACACTCTCTAGCTCCCAGACCTTTTTGAACAACGTCGTCAGTTCCTTAGTCAGAAAGTCACCACAATCTTTAGGAAGGGCAGGAGGTAAGTCATCTGGGCCCAGTGATTTGTAGCGCTTCAAGAGTTGGAGTTCCTTGCGGACTTCCACCTCATTTGGTGGATCAGTAGTCATCGGCCATGGAGGGCAGGACAGTCTGACCGATGTTGCCGAAGCAGCAGGCCAGTCGAACTGCCCTTCGAAAAATTCTGCCCATCGTACAAGACGTCGATGGATGTTAGTGATTGGCGTTCCGTCATCCTCGCAGATTGTTTCGCTCACACCAGACTCCTTGCTGCCAGTGGCTCGGATGAGTTGGAAGAGCTTCCAGTAATTACCAGATGCAGCTGTTGCTTCCAGCTCATTAACACGCTTCGACCACCAGGCTTCTCGTTCCTTACGCAAGCTTCACCCAATTTCACTACGTAACAACCTTCGTTTGTGGTCAAACTCACGGTCACCCGGAGTAGACCGACGGGCTTCGATGAGTTGTAAGGAGCCTGAAGAAACCCAGTGCTTATAAGCGGGACGTTTCGCGAACCCACGACTGACTGTACCCGCCATTTTGATGGCGTCATGCAATTGTAACCAATGCTCATCTATACTTTTCGGTGGAATGGTAGCTAGCCTAGAAACTAGCTCGGTTCGATACTTACTTGCAACAGAAGTTGCAACCAACTTGCTGACATCAATCCTTTGGTGGCGATCATTTGGTTGGCCACTGAAAAGTAAGGTAAGATTGGCGCAGACCAAAGCATGTTCAGAGTCCAGATAGGTACTCCAAAAGGAGCGGCAGTCTTGTACACAACCACGCCAGCGGTAGCTGATCGCGATGTGATCAATCTGAGTCCAGTCTTGAGATGCAGAAGGAGGACGCCAGGTGGCACATCGTCGATGACTGTGCCGAAAGTTAGTGCTAGCCAGAAACAGGTTGTGGTCTGTGCACAGTTGCAGTAGACGGTCCCCGTTATCTGTCTTGCGACCAACAAGTCCCCATCGGCCACCTAAACGGCTCTCTTCTGTGTCTAGTCGCCCGACCTGAGCATTCAAGTCTCCGGCTAGTACTACAATATCTGTCGAACGCTCTTTCTGGAGAAGAACAGGTAACTGGTGGTAAAACTCATCCTTGATTGCATCCGGGCTGCAATTTGTCGGGGCATAGGCGGAGATGACGAAAAGACATGGTTTCTCACACCGATTTCTTCTCACTTTGATGGGACTCTCTAATCTAACAACACATAACCGACTGTTAATGGGGATCCGATACTGATTTGAAGGAGATAGCAATAAACATTGTTCTCAAAGAATTTTGCTTTTAGTGGACTAACAAAGGCCTTAGGTCACAGATTATTGATCACATTGCAGAGATATACTTAACCAGAGATCGGAGAACTTCTGAAAAGCCTAAGAAATCTACTAGTCGAAAATGGAGTTTCCACTAAACCTAATATGTACCTTCATAATTTTTCTGGTACGGAATTAAACAAAGGGAAACTTGGAGTTTAAGCCCTAGGCTTAAAGTTTTATGGTACACACAACGGAAATTCAGTTTTAAGACTTTTCAGACATCAGATCTAGTTCCGACCTCCGATTAAGAAATTGAACGTTTTGAATCAAATCTCGATTGTTGCTATAAGTTTAAAAACAGTGAGTATAACTAAGAAACCATTTTAGTAAAAAAAAACACACATGAAGGCTATCAATGAACTCATTAAGGAGGAAAATTTTATTATTAAAAGGCCGGGTGAAGGAACAGGAACTGTCTTAGCTAAAAACTGTATTGACAAGACTAACATCTTGACTGATCACTTAAAATCCTAAAAACTGAATGACCACAAATACATCAGTAATAAGATAGAAAATAAACAGACCAGATCTGTGAAAAAGTTCAAATGACAACATAACTTCACGTACATACGAACCAGTTAAGCCGATAAGCACTCATTCACAAAAGTTATATGGATTACCGAAGGTACGTATACCAGATATCCCATTGTAACCAATTCTGGACATGTACGATTCCCCTCATCATACTGTAGTAAAGCTATTAGTAACCATTTTAAAGCCACTCCATAAATATCTAATGAAGGATGTATTCCAGTTCGTCGACAAGATCAGAAACAAACTATAGAACAAAATGTCCTTTGACGTAGCATCATTGTATACAAATGTCTCACTTATGAAAACAGTCGAATATATCTGTGAACAACTTAGGGAACTAGAAATAGAAACTACAATTCATCTGGGCATCGTTAAGGAAATATTACTAAACTGTAATATGAACGTAAACTTCAAATTCAATGATGAAATCTATGGCCGAATAGATATTGTCACACTAGGTTCACTACTAGGTCCCGTACTGGCTGACATTTTTCTCACTATACTAGAAAACGGTACACTGGCACGGCTTATTGGCAAGTGCTCATTTTCCTGCCGACATATGGATGATACGTTGTAAAGACCATACTAACCGGGTATAGGGGGGAAGTAGCGTTCAATCAGGCTTCTACCCTAGAAATTTTAAGTGTGACGAGCAATAACACATCAAGAATATTCGTTATTTGTGTAAAGGTTATTCAGTGTGTGTTAGCGGGGCGTAGAGTGGATTAAATCATGCTCAATGCACGCTTGCGTTGGCGCACGCTGATTATCTAATTCCTATCCAATCAGCGCTAGTCGATACTTGGAGAACACTAAGATCCTCTTATATAAAAACTATAAACATACTAACGTTTCTCCTATTGTGCTTCTTACTTCCATCTAACTTTGTTATTTGGAATATAATCTGTTCAACCGTGTTCTGATTTGGGGACTTGTCGAGTGAATTGGTGTCCAAGAATAGTAAGCAATAGGAATATCTAGGTCGTAATAAGAGAGAATTATAACAGTATGTTTATCGGTATTACTCTTTTATTTTACTTATTCTCATAGTTGGGATACATGGTATGTCATATGAAATCTTACGTCGTCGTGCTTTGCAGTATGCTCGTGAAGTCAAGTATAGTCTTGTTCAACTTGATAATGTGAATGTGAAAATAAAAACTATTAAAAACTACTCTTTAATCAAACCGTTAGAAGAGGTGCAAGTCTCACTGGAGCGATTAAAAAGTCAGTTACAAGATATTTCATTACACTTACACGTTGATATTGATGGAATTGGACGAGTTGACGGTGTGTTGGAATCACGAATGAATTATCTGGAATATTTATCAAATGAACTTCAAAGTGAATTATTCCAATTGCAGGTTGGTTGCACGTTAAATAATATTGTGTTTTATTATTTTGAGCTTTATAACAACTCTTCATAACGGTGACATTAGGCTGTTTTACCTATGGTGATTATATTAGGACTACGAAGTTATACTTACCCTTAATTCATGGAGTGTGATTTGAAAATGTGACGTAATGTCTGAACTAACTAACTACAACTCTGCACATTTTAAAACTAATACCCTGTTCATATTGAACTCGTTAGCAACATACGACAATCACTACCTTTTGTTGTTGGAAATTGTGGATGTTCCTAGCCTTCCATAACCTTCCCCTAAATAAATGTGTGGAAATTGACAGCAGATAACCTTGGAAACCTAAAACCATACTTCTAAATTCCACAATGCAGAATTGTATTTTATTCTGTTTCTTTTGTACAGATTGTTTAAAGACACTATTTGTTTCTCAGTATTCATATTTAATAGATAACATACCACTCGTGAATTAAATAGGATTATTTTATTCATCTACAACTTTATTTTCGCAACCGTAGGCTCGTTTTTTGAACGGGATGTTAATCAATTTGCGACCTTATAAGTACATAAGTTATTTCGGATCTGTGTTAATAGGTTCACAAAATTTGCTGTTTTGTTTCGTCTTTAATTGACCAATTTTTCTGAGCCGATTATATTTTTGCGACCTATTACTTTTTGGTGTTACGCAAATTGTAAACCATAGAATAGGATAGTTAGCAGAGATTAACAAGGTAAGGAACCATAAATCATGAGTTAAAAGTCTCTAGTTCAACTAAAAAATATGAAGAATAGATGGAAAGAAATTGAATAAAAATGTCTATTCACAGCCCCAATGAACTGATGAATGTATGTTGTAGATCTATCAGTTTACTTTTTTCATTTGTATAGTGCATGTCATCAGTATTCAATTTCCGTATTCTTATTTTTAAGATGCTATTAATCTTGTCTCATTAGATGAAAAATGTTGACTGTCAAGACCTTCACCTTTGAATCCTTCTGTTACTCTAATCACCCAGCTTCATTAGAGTGTTCCTTGAAAATTGATCGGTGGTTTATTGACTTTAGCTCCTGCATTTCATTTGTTGGGGACTGATGAAATCTCGGAATACATTGAGAAAGCTTGCTTAGCTTTTGCGAATTTGCGTAGGAAAGGTGACCGTCTTTCAACCGTGGAGGACGATACACTGCTCATCACTCCACTCTTACTTTATAGCTTTGAGACTTGGACTAAAAGGCTAGGAGACAAGCAATGTGATCATAAGTGACGTCAAGGCATCGGTTGCGTATCGTAAGCAATGCCTACATTATGCGTCAAGTACTGGGCAGTTATATCAAGTTAGTTGATAGTTCTGTGAATTTTTATCGACTGAAGGGGTTAAAAAGTATAATCTACTCACTGCTTTCCTCGCTGTTCACTGATGGCTGTGATAGGAGCAAGTTGGCAAAAAAAGCTAGAAGCGGTCAACCCAAAATATAGTATCAGTCTCTATAATCATTTACTGTTTTTTGGGCGCTTTTCCATAGATCCAGGTTACCTGGTTGGGGTTCAAGTGATTAATAATTAATGTAAATAAATAGTATATTTGTAATATCCCAATGAATGGAAAAATTAGATTTTCTGTTCATTGGGATATTACAAATATACTATTTATTTATAACAATCTACTCTCTGTCTTCCCTTAAACTAAGAGATTAAAATCGCTTCATACCTTTCTTTCTACGAACCAATTTTTTCTTGTACTATATCTCTATATGCAATCTTTCTCTTATATTACCACCTTTGACCTAACCACTGCTATGAATCCGGTGTTCATCTTGTTGTGCTGATGCGGTATGGCAACCTGGACCGATGCACATATGTGCCTGGTCCTACGTTGTAGCTGACTGATACTATCATTACTTCGTCCTTTTTGCTATTCAGCTTATTACTTTCGTTTGTCAATCAGTCAATCATATGCAACATAAAGCCTCACATGCATATACATCGACCCAAGTTGTTCCACCACATTAGCACAGCGAAATGGAATTATCAACGCGAATCACAGAACAGTAAAAGTATTTGTTGTGATGAACGGTATCCAAAATCTGATACTGATACACGGTGTGCTACGTTTATCATTTTATTTATTTATTTAAACATAAAGATTGGTTCAAGGAGGCACCAAATATATTTGCATCACCCAAATCATTCGATTTGTGAGAGGGCTGGAATACTGCCTGGACGCTCAATCCGAAGCAAGTGGTTTCCTTAGAGGGACACACCCCGAGACATTTAAATAAAGGTCTAATCCACAAGGCAGTGGAGCAACGTCAGGAGATGCAGTCCCACGGTAGCTAGTGACCATTTGGCTCATACGCCATTTGTTCCTACAGGATCCTGAAGCCCATGTGCACCATTGGTTTTGAATCAGGGTTTTCCAACTCCTCTAGGTGGATCCTCCGTGTCCAGCAACCCGATTAAGAGCGCCGGACATTTTCTTTTCGTCCTCTCAATTTCATAAACAACAGTGATGCCGCGAGAAGGCAATGAGTAGTACTTCACTGTCAGTGTCTGTATACGCCTGGTCATGTAAGCGCATTTCGTGAGGGAGAGAGGACTCTTCATTCGGGGCGCTTACCCCCCAACTAACCACTTGAGTGAGGGCATAAGAGTGAGCGAGAAAGTGTATTGGGCTACCGAATAAAATGCACAAATACTCACTCATATATATTTACCACTCTAATATTTATGAAATTGATCCATTTCCTAGGCAATGAAGTGCACTTGTCGTTTAGGTCACTTCTAATTGCGATTGATTGACCTTCTCATTAGGCTACTACTGATTGTCTCTCTATACCAGTATTAACAGTATCAGTTGTAGTTGTAGTAGAAAAAAATAAGTATAATAACAGAAAAGGAGTAGAAGATTTCGGGATTCAGAGTCTAAGATGAAACTAAAAGTGAATATATCTTTACTGGATGTATCATATTATCATTGGCACTATAAATAATAATCGCTAGGCCCAGCCAAACCTAAACGTGATATCAGTCCATGAAGTCACTAATTATTATACTGAGCCATGTAGGTAGGTGCAGAATACCTGGTTGAGGTTCACATGATAACCGCGATCAGTGTTTAAAGATGTTGAATGCCATAACATAGAATCAATCGCAAAAGCAAAGTATGGTAGATTTGAATTTGTATTTCACTGTTAGAAAATTCTGTACAATAATCTATGATTTATATACTAATATATTTAATTAATTAACGAGAGTTTATTTATATTCTACTTCGTTTATTTTGTAATTGTTTTGTTTACAGAATCCCTCAAGTTGTACAAAAGCTAAATATGTGGTTGCCTCGTTAAATAAACCTTGTGCATTCGGTTGTAATGCCCATCATTTAATGCATTGTTTTCAAATGGCCTATGCAACTGGGCGTACATTAATCTTGAATCCTACTGATGGGGAGGAATACACACACTGGTGGATAAAAAACTTTTTGCCATTATCTCAGAAATGCAGTATAAATGACATTCAGTCAAATATCCATTCTGGTTGTAAGCTTTCTTTAAAAAATATTTATAGTTCCAGTGTAATCTTGCCGTTCTTCATTTATCTTAAGAATTATGCTAGTGTGATGTGGTGCGATAATATCCATTTTGTTTGATATCAATACACAAAAGATTTGTTTCTACAAATAACTTATCTGTTTACAAATGACATATTTCTTATGACTTACTTAGGCCTGCTATGCCTCTTGAGTTCTAGGCTTCTGAAAGAGATCTCTAAAGTTCTCTTTCATATGGTCTCTTACTCAGTTGTTCCGAAGTCGTATTGATGATTTTAGTGTCTCCTTCCAGTTACCAGTGCCCCCAAATGCCCTGGTATGGCAGAGAGTGGGGTGGGCCTGCCCTCCCTCTCGAAATGCTCTCACACGGCCACGCGTATACAGCCTCAGCCAGAGAAGTCCTACTCACTGCCTTCTCGTAGCGGGGGTGTTGTTTAGGAAATTGAGAGGACGAAAAGCGAATGTCCGGCGCTTTAACCGGATTCCAAGCCAATGGTGCACATGGGCTCCAGTATCCTGCGGGAACAAATGGCGTATGAACCAATCTTTGGTCACCGGCTACCATGGGACTGGATCTCCTCACGATGCTCCACTGCCTTTTGGGTTAGACCTTTAGGTCCAAGGCTCGGGGTGTGGGGCCCCCTAAGAAAACCACCTGCTTCGGTTTGGGCACCCGGGTAGTATCCCAACCCTCGCACAAATCGAATGATTTATGTGGCTCATATATATTTGGTGCCTCCTTGTACCAATGTTTATGTGTTTAAATAAATAATAAATACAGTTACCACTGCCATATATTCTTTGGTCTGCTTAATCCCCTTTATCTTTCTCTAATTTGACCGTCCATTGGATTTTTGATTCGGTTCAACAACAATGTTGATAACCTTGTCTGGTACTGAAAGTGGTATGGTACTTCGATGGTTTTCACACTTATTAAAACCTTTTATGTTTGTTATCTTAATAAGGTTTTCCTCTTTCCATTCTTTCTGTATTTGTTCTCCTTCCTAGATCTTTCAGCAGAGAATATAAAATACTCTTGGGGTTAGCTCTACATCTACCGGGTTCTCCATAGTGTTATCCAGTGAAACTCAAGTAGCTTTGTGCATAGATTTACGGGGGTAAATGCTTCTACCTAGGACCATGTTGTCGAAGTGCAGAAATTCACTATTGTCTCATTCTCTTTTCTTTCCTTCAGTCCATGTCGCCTCATGATGTCTTGATGCCCGTCGTTGTCTACTCTGTCTTTAATGATTAGGTCTCCCGTCTGGATGGTCAGGTCTTTTCTTGGTAAACTGAAGCCTCATGAAATTGGCTTTTATTATTTTTGCTACCACCATTGGTATTGTTAAGTGTGAAGTAGTACTGGGAGACATTCATTGTGATCTTTTCATTCTTCGTTTTGAAGGATAGTTTGATGATCCTAAAGCCACGAGTCTCTTATTCTATGAGCGCTTTTTGTGTTTCTTTGGAGGTGTTTAATGCCAAATCTTTTTATTTGATTTATTATTTATGACCAGACTGCAGAGTCTCTCTTGAAGTTAGTCTTTCTTGTCCAGATTATTTTCGATGAGTTTCATTTATTTCAAGCAATACCAGGCTGCATTTTCTCATTTCTACGGCTATTGGAATGAGCCTTTCGGTCTTCTACATCGCTTGTACATTCTATATCTCATATATATATTTGCCTTTGATATAGTTGGTAAAAGGAACACTGGCATTGTGACCCTCGAAGTCGCGGGTTTCATTACGAAGTGTCATAACTCCTATAAATCAAGACCGAGTTCCGGAGCAGTTTAGTCAGTTTAACTTATTTACTCTAGTTAGGTTATTTTTGGCGGGTTTCGTTTTACGAGGTTGTGTTGCTTACCCTACGCCGGACCCTTCTCCTTCACCTGAGATTGGGATCGGTAGTAATCCTAAAAGTGTTGCAAACGCAGTTATCTTCCTGATGGATAACGAATAAAAAGTATTTTGCAATGTTTAGCTAAAAATGTCCAACTAGTGTTTCTCATATTGACAGTGAAAAAAATCCTATGTTTATACAGCGATACCCCAGAGTGCCAGTTCTTAAGGGAACTAAGAAAACACTTTCGGTTCCCCATCTTCCCACTTTGAAAATTATCCACAAATTTCAATAGATTGATTAATTGAAAAAAACCAAACATAAGCGACTAACATATTATGGAAGTCCATGTACCGAAACACACCATTGTCTACTCAATGTTGTACTTTCTGGTTTGTAATTCAAATGACGATAACTACTAAGAAAAAATATTCTTGCTTCAATTAGCATTCAGACAAATTACATTCACAATCATTTGATAGCATTCATTTTCATTTTTTTAATATACTACGCCACTTATCTATTCTCTTCTATTCTCACTTTGTGTATTCTTACTTTTCAACTTATACAACAGTTCGCCTGTGGTGGAAATCTGTCCTACCACCGACTACGAATACTGAAACAGTCTTTCTGAAACCATGTATGCAATTCAAACCAGTCTCCTTCAACGTTCGCACACTAAATGAGATCGGGCAACAGATAGGGTTGGCTGTCTTTAGAAAGTTTTAATATCGGCGTCTGATGTCTATCCGAGACCCTTATTCAAAACTCTACTAAAGTACTGCAAGTTCACTTTCCATCTGTCACTTCGAAGAGCTTGCTTCACGTGAGTTTATCTGGGGACCCTGTGGTATCTTCGTCTGGTTTTGCTGGCGTTGGTGTTTCATTAAGCGCTAGAGCTGAGGCAGCACTGAATGATTGGATTCCTAATGACAGTCGGTTATGTCCTGTTAAACTAGAAAGCTCCATCAAAGTGAGCAGAAATCAGTATGAGAAATGATGTGCTTTCGTCATCTCTGCATACACTCCGACGTATTGCAACCCGAATGCGATCAAAGATAAGTCATACCACCTGTTAAGTGTTGTTCTATAGGAAATACATCCGACAGATATTGTAGTACCAATGGGAAACTTGAAGGCACAGATCAGGTGTCTAGGCACGGAAGAGAGTTGGGTCGATGAGGACTTGTTGGTCGCAGGTCAGATAACGGTGACCATCTACTGCAACTGTGCGCAGATCACAACCTATTTCCGGCTAGCGCTAACTACTGGCACAGTCATCGCCGATGTGCCACTTGGCGTCCTCCCTCTGCATCTGAAGCCTGGACTCAGATTGATCACATCGCGATCAGCTATCGTTGGTGTGGTTGTGTACACGACTGCAGTCAGACAGTCTGATTCAGTGTAGGACCAGGCACACATGTGCATCGATCCAAGTTGCCACACCTCATTAGCAATGCAAGACGAACACCAAATTCATAGAAGTAGTTAATTCAGTGGTGGTAATATATATATGAAAGATTGTGTATCAGGATATCATGCAGGAAGAAAGGATTAGTTCGTAGGAAGAAAGGTATAAAGCAATTTTAATCTCACTGTTTAAGAACAGACAAAGAATGTTTGCATCTACGCGATTGTGATCGATTCTGAGCTGTCATCCAGAGTCTCCAACCGTTGGTTACGATAGTTACACGGACCCCAACCAAGTAGCCTGTATCTACCAACATGTCACAGACTAGAATTTAGTGACTTCAAGAACTAATGCCACGTTTTGCTTTGGCCGCCCCTGACTTTCTTCCATCCCCAACCTACTTCAATGTTCCATTCAGGCTGTTTGAGCATAGTGGGTAGTTGTAGAGTAGCTGAAGGCCAGCTGAACTGCTCCTTAAAGTGTTTTGCCCATCGTTCTGAACGTCTGGACTGGTGCAGGACTACTGCTCCTTTTGGAGCATCTATCTGTACTCTGACCATGCCCTTGTTCGTGGTAATCTTACCTTCGTCCTATACGGATCGATGTCAGTAAATTGGTTTCAGCTTCTGTTGCAACTAAATATCGAACCGAGCTAGTTTCTAGGCTAGCTACCATTCCACCGAAAAGTATAGATGAGCATTGGTTACAATTGCATGACGCCATCAAAATGGCGGGTACAGTCAGTCGTGGGTTCGCGAAACGTCCCGCTTATAAGCACTGGGTTTCTTCAGGCTCCTTACAACTCATCGAAGCCCGTCGGTCTACTCCGGGTGACCGTGAGTTTGACCACAAACGAAGGTTGTTACGTAGTGAAATTGGGTGAAGCTTGCGTAAGGAACGAGAAGCCTGGTGGTCGAAGCGTGTTAATGAGCTGGAAGCAACAGCTGCATCTGGTAATTACTGGAAGCTCTTCCAACTCATCCGAGCCACTGGCAGCAAGGAGTCTGGTGTGAGCGAAACAATCTGCGAGGATGACGGAACGCCAATCACTAACATCCATCGACGTCTTGTACGATGGGCAGAATTTTTCGAAGGGCAGTTCGACTGGCCTGCTGCTTCGGCAACATCGGTCAGACTGTCCTGCCCTCCATGGCCGATGACTACTGATCCACCAAATGAGGTGGAAGTCCGCAAGGAACTCCAACTCTTGAAGCGCTACAAATCACTGGGCCCAGATGACTTACCTCCTGCCCTTCCTAAAGATTGTGGTGACTTTCTGACTAAGGAACTGACGACGTTGTTCAAAAAGGTCTGGGAGCTAGAGAGTGTACCAACGTCATGGAATGAGTCGATAGTTGTCCCTATCTTTAATAAGGGTTCACTTCGTTCCCGTAACAACTATCGGGGGATAAGTCTACTTCCGATTGCGTTCAAGCTATTGGCTTCCGTCATACTTCGTAGGTTGTTCAAAACCCGAGAATGATTGACTCGTGAGGAGTAGGCTGGGTTTCGTTCTGGTCGAGGATGTATTGATCATATCTTCACGACATTCTGGAAACAGCTCTGATGGATGTAAGTAATGGCGGTGTGGATCTGTTGCCTGAAGAAAGATTTCTCGACCTTGAGTATGTGGATGATATTGTCTTACTGTGCGATAATGCCCAAGACATGCAATCCGCACTTAATCAGTTGGCAATCAGTGTCCGTAGGTTTGGTATGTGCTTTGCACCTTCGAAGTGCAAAGTACTTCTACAAGACTGGCAGGATTCTAATCCTGTACTTACTACCACGACGTGCAATGCTATCCGGTATTGGAGATGGTTGGAAGAAAGTTAGGGGCGGCCAAACCAAAACGTGAAATCAGTGCTTGAAGTCATTAACTTCTAGTCTGAGCCATGTTGGTAGATGCAGACTACTTGGTTGGGGTCCGCGTGACTATCGTAACGAATGGTTGGAGACTCTTGGTGACATGGCTCAGAATCGATCACAATGGCGTCGGTGTATACACTCTCTGTTTTCCCTTAAACTAAGAGATTAAAATCGCTTCATACCTTTCTTTCTACGAACCAATTTTTTCTTCTTGTACTATATCTCTATATGCAATCTTTCTCTTATATATTACCACCTTTGACCTAACCACTGCTATGAATCCGGTGTTCATCTTGTTGTGCTGATGCGGTATGGCAACCTGGACCGATGCACATATGTGCCTGGTCCTACGTTGTAGCTGACTGACTTACTCTGGATGGTGAACAGATAGAAGTAGTCGAGAAGTTCGTGTATCTGGGTAGCTGCATAAGTGCTGGTGGTGGCGTGAGTGATGAGATCGATTCACGTATAATGAAAGCCAGAGCGGCTTATGCCAATCTGGTCCACCTTTGGCGCCTTTTTGATGTCAGTCTGGCTGTAAAAGATCAGATCTACAACGCGTCGATGATAGCAGTTTTGCTCCATGCTTGTGAAACCTGGCATTCAGTTACCTTGAACATAGTACTAGACAGAGGTTTGACCTCCTGATCCATTTGTTTGAAGTCTAGTACTAAAATCAATAACCCAACACTTTACTTCAATGGTTGTTCAGAAGTCTTTTACACTATGTCTTCTGTTCATAAGAAATAAATACGTGTCACTTCCAATTACTTATTTGCGATTCCATAAGCCGCTTATCCATCTTACTTTTCTACAACCCTGGGTTCGGTTTCGTGATTCTCTTGAGTGATTTTTATAACAAGTTACTATCATGCTATCTTTTGTTTTTGGTGATTTTGATTCCTCAATACATCTAGTTCTTATTCTGCTGATGGGAAATTAGGTCATCCTCAGCCAATCTTTAAGTTTGCAGCGTTTGATCACTTATGGGTATGGTTGTTCAAAAATTAGATTGGTTGGAGAGGTTTTTGTTAATTTTTCTTGACTTTTCTCATTCGTAGTTTTTGATGGGAAGGCGTTTAATACCTATCAAGCAATTACGTGTCCGCACATAGAAACAATAAGCTCTTCATTTGATTGGATCCCTCAAGCTGTTCCCAGTCATTTGAGCAAATTACTTGCGCGTTTACATGGTGCCCCATTTGTGTGGTTCATTGGTCAGTTGGGTAAATTTTTAATGCGTCCATCGTTTAACTTCCCTGAAGAATTTAAAATATTCGACGATCAACATGAGAATCCAGTTGTTGGTATTCATGTCCGACGTACGGATAAAGTGAGTTTGTGTACTCTTATCATACAGTTTTTCATTTTCTTTTACTTAACTAGTGTGACGAAGTGATTATTTACGGTTAGATTTGTGAGTAAAATTACTAATTATAAAACATAACTCATGTCGATGTACAAGTTTCCCTAGCCATATTAAAGATATTTGACTACCGGAGAATTACTTCAATTTCATAGAACAAATCTAATCAGTGGTATACTAGAAAGGATTTAAACAATGTGGAGAGGTACGGTAAGGTAACTTAAATAGTATAGCAAACTGTGAACTGGGTGAAATAACTTTTACTGAGTAATATATCTTATTGGTTTACAGCAAACTGAAATAACAGCCGCATCATGGCAAAATGATAGTGGACAAAAAATATTAATCTGTTAAGTTTATTGACGATTTCTAACGAATTTTGAAATCGTTTGAGAATTGTTTCTTAGATGAAATGATTCATTTATTTGAACACATAAATATTGGTACAAAGGGGCAACGAATACATATGCGCTACACAAGTCACTTGATTTGTGTATGGGCTGTGATACTACCCGAGTGCCCAGACCGAAACAGGTGGTTTCCTTAGGAGGCCACGCCTCGAGCCTTCGACTTTAAGGTCTCATCCACAAGGCAGTGGAACAAAGTCAGGAGATACAGTCGCATGGTAGCCGGTGGTCAATAATTGGTTCATACGTCATGAAATGAGAAATCAACTGTAAAGTCATTTAGATAACGAAGTGTTTGCTAGTTTTCTCTGCATTTTACGTGTATAAGTGATATTGCAAGGAAATCGGTTGAATGGTTAGTAGAATAATTTTTATCGTCCTCAACGTCGTGAAGAAGTATAAACAGCGAATAAACAGTGAGGTAACAAGATGATTATAATATAGGTTTATGAAATTTCGACAGGATGTGGGTAATTAAAGAAGCTAATATTTGGCTAAAATAAGAATGGATTTAGGTAATTTAAACGATTAAAGGTCCAGTTGGATTAGTCCCGAAAATCTTCAAGGATCGCAGCCCAGTTTTAACAGTTAGATTGAATAATATCTTAGCTAGAATTTTGGAACTGGACGTGATTCTATCTGATTGGTTTCAATCGCTAGTCGTCGCAGTTTACAAGAAAGGACAAAAACTATTTTGTGACAATCATCGAAGAATTAGTTTAACTAATATAGTGCCTAAAATATCAGCTTCAACTCTTAACCAAGGTTCGGAAAGAGCAAACCTGCAAAATTTAGTCTCGTTTCATACCTGAACATGGATTTATAGACTGAATACTTACTTTTTGGTAGGTTCTGGAACAAAAAATTACTTTTTGACGTCTGACTATGGTTGTATCCCTTGATATTAAGGCGGTATTCGACGCCGTTGGTCGTGAGTTTTTGTTGGAGTGTCTGTCATTGAAAGGCGTACCAAGGAAGTACATCAAGATTGTTCCGAGTCTCAACCTAAACGCTACTGGTCAAGTCGACTGTGATCAGAACTGATAATTTTAAGTGGTGTTTGTCAGGATTTTCCGCTTTTCTCATTTTTCATTAATTTCATCATAGACATTCTTTTGGAGATGACGCTCTCATCTAACGTTTTAGTTATTGATCTTTTACTAGGATATTTATTTGTTGACTTGGAATACGCAGATGGTATAGTTCTGTTTAGTGAAGACTGAAAAAATGCAGTCTCCTAACCGCCTTAAACAATAGTGAGAAATGTTGCTCCAGGATTGCTGTGCGACCGCTTCACTTATCATGAGAGTTTCATGAGTTTTATCCCGACCATAGCTGCTACCTTGACGCAATGGTCGGGCTTGCCTATCGTGACGACCCAATTGAGCTATATTGGCTGGAACATATGTTGCTGTAGGTTCTATCATGCCAGGCAGGTCGATTGGAGAACGGTAAGACTAAAAGCAGCAACTCAAGGTCTGAGGGCGAAGTCGTACTGCTGACTGTAGAGGGTTGTGACAGCAGTAAGGTGTTTCCCTCGGACAACCAGTGTCTACAGCGATACCGCCTTCTCACAAGGAAGGAAGGGGTTAAAAAAGATTGACCCTAAAAATGTCACACCTCACCTTACCTCACGGATTTCCGTCTCCGGCGGTAAGGCCCTTTGAAGAACGAAGCTAACACATTCAAAACCTCTCACGAAAAGGCCGTGCGCGACCGACTTCAAGCAGTTGTCCCGTGGGCTCTGCGGTCACGCTCCCAGGTCTTTTAGGCCAACGTTACTCCAACTTTCATGCAATTAGTTCCCTTTATGAATTTAAATAAAGCAAGACCAAATATTGATGCAGAATAGTACGGATTCATAATATATACATATATTTCTTATCTCAATGTAAAATTCTATTACATATTTGGCTGTAAGCGGCTGACGAGAAACCTCGAAATATTATGAATTCATACTGTTCTGCATCAATGTTTGTTCTTGCTTTATTAATCAAACTTCCTTTTCAGGTTCCTCAAGAAATACCCTTTCACGATGTTATATCCGAGCGAAGATTAAGTCACGAGTAACTTCTGAGACATATTAATTGACTAATATTATGGTATAACTATTCAATAATTAGATTATGTATATTTATATTCCTCTTATTATAAGCTTTATTTTGACCTATAATTTGTTATTGTACGATTTACTGTTATTAAGCTATGTTCAGTTTATTGACTACTGTCTCCCACGTCCACAGCCACTTTTTGGCATTATTGTCTACAAATGTTATTTCTTATTTTATGGTGCGTTGCGGTCTGTTTGTTTGATATATAAATCCAGTATGTCTGAAATAAATGATTCGATTCGATTCATATTGTAAAAGCTGGAGTCAAGTAGACGGGCTAGGTGGACATAGGACCAATAAGGACGCTAAACCGTTCATACCGGTCGAACGTCATTGGTTTTGGCACAGTGCTAAGATTGTATAAGTCGTATTTTGATTGGTGGATAAATCACGTGATAAAAGTCGAACATAAGTCATAAAACACACGGTGTGGGCAGCCGGGAAGTGACATCAGCGCTCATACCCGTAACAACACACGAGGCCAAGCTGGTCACATTCAAATCCTTCCTACACCTCCTAATACTGACCGACTCATGAGTTTTATTGGGCTGGTGTCTAACAATATCTACGCACGGATTCCAAATGCTCGACTGGTTTTTGACAACTTGTGTCACTTACATTGTAGGCGAGCTATCCTTTTGGCAACTAACGGGCGAGTTTACTGCTCAGTATCTTGATCCGTTTATCTGTGGGTGTGAAGTATGGCCATTAAAAACAGAGAATATTCTTAGGTTACTAGCATTCGATAGTAAATGTCTTTGAATTATTGCTCGTATGTTTTGAGACCACCGAATAAGGTGTTGGGGATAAGGAACTTGATAATGATGGGGAGTCAAGTGATGAAACAATAAATATCCACCGGTAAAGGTGGTTGTGACGTGTGTTACATATGGCCGCCCACTGTCAACCTCGACAATGTCTGGTGTAGGAGTAGGTTGGAGGAAATCTAGTTGTGAACAGGTCACGACGTGACACTAGTCTGTGAAGTCATTGACAATTGGCCTAATCATGTAGGTAGATCTTGACTGCCTGTTTGGGTTCTACGTGATTATCGCAACCAACGGTTAAGGACTTTGAATGACATGACTCAAAATCTTTCGCAATTTCTGAAAGGCATCCATTCTTCATCTTCCCTTGGATTTCAAATTTTTAAATTCCACATAATTTTTTGTATTTCATCTCCATACATATATCTTGTTTTTTCTTACCTAATTTTTCTTAATATTGCTGGTACTGTTATTACTTCTAATACTCTGAGATTGAGATTGAAATAATTTTATCTCACTGTGCTAACGTGCTATGTCAACTTAAAGCGATTGACACATGTACCAGGTGCAACATTGTGTTTAGTTGTCTCACCTTCAGATTTTTTTATTTTACTGAGTAATTCATGTAAGCAGCAATAAACCTTTCAGTTCTAGTATTAGGTGGTTAACATTTGACCTACTCGTTGGTAGATACCTTCTATAGTTCGTGAACAAGTTACTTTTTGTGAACCTTAATGAATATGAAAAAGCACTGTTTCGTCTAATCCTTTCGTGATTTATGTGAATAAATTGTTAAGTTAACCCTTTTCTTAACCATTTCGTTTTTTTGTACGATTTTAGATAAATACTGAAGCGAGTTTTCATAGTTTAGAAGAATATATGACTGAAGTTGAGAGCCATTTCCAATTCATAGATGCCAAACGTCAAATGATGTCTAGAACTGAAGTAAGTATTTAACTATTAATTTTCATGTATATTGTAACTGTTTTATTGTAACCAAGATTCATCGAGAAATGACTTCACCTTGTCCACTGGCCATCATATGAATACATCTGCGAGTAAAGGCTTCGTAATAGTTTTTCTTAGCTAACCATATTTTAAAATTCGGACATCACAACAGTGTTTCAGCTCATAAACTAATCATGATCATTGCAAATAAAGTACATGACATATTCATTTTATAAGCTAACACACTCAAAGTCTAATAATCTTATTATAGGTCAATAATTACTATCTGCAAATTAAGTGTGGCAAACCAGCAGGACCGGACAACATCCCAGCAGAGGCACTAAAAGCAGACGTAGCGGCAACTGCAAGGATACTCCACATTCTCTTCAATAAGATTTGGGATGAGGAACAAGTACCAAAAGACTGGAAAGAAGGACTTCTGATCAAAATACCGAAAAAAGGCGATCTCGGCAACTGTGATAACTACAGGGGCATCATTCTTCTCTCAATACCTGGAAAAGTCTTCAACAGGGTATTGTTAAACAGGATGAAGGACTGCGTAGACTCCCAACTTTGTGACCAACAGACAGGATTCCGTAATGACAGATCGTGTACAGACCAAATCGCAACTCTACGGATCATTGTGGAACAATCAATTGAATGGAATTCATCACTCTACATCAACTTCACTGACTACGAAAAGGCATTTGATAGCGTGGACAGAACAACACTATGAAAACTTCTTCGACACTACGGCGTGCCTCAGAAGATAGTCAATATCATACAGAACTCATATGATGGATTAAACTGCAAAATCGTGCATGGAGGACAGTTGACAAAGTCGTTCAAAGTGAAGACTGGTGTCAGGTAAGGTTGCTTACTCTCACCCATTCTCTTTCTCCTGGTGATCGACTGGATCATTAAGACGTCAACGTCTGAAGGGAAGCGCGGGATACAATGGACATCTAAGATGCAGTTGGAGGATCTAGACTTCGCAGATGATCTGGCCCTTCTATCCCAAACGCAACAACAGATGCAGGAGAAGACAAACAGTGTGGCAGCAGCAGTAGGTCTCAACATACACAAAGGGAAAAGCAGGATTCTCCGATACAACACAGAATGCACCAATCCAATCACAATTGACGGAGAAGATTTGGAAGATGTAAATACCTTTACGTATTTGGGCAGCATCATTGATGAACAGGGTGGATCTGATGCAGATGTGAAGACGCGGATCGGCAAAGCAAGAGCAGCATATTTACAACTGAGGAACATCTGGAATTCAAACCAACTGTCAACCAACACCAAGGTCAGGGTTTTCAATACAAATGTCAAGACAGTTCCACTGTATGGGGCGGAAACCTGGAGAACTACGAAAGCTATCATCCAGAAAATACAGGTGTTTATTAACAGTTGTCTACGCAAAATACTTCGGATCCGTTGGCCGGACACTATTAGCAACAACCTAATGTGGGAGAGAACAAACCAGATCCCAGCGGAGGAAGAAATCAGGAAGAAGCGCTGGAAGTGGATAGGACAAACATTGAGGAAAGCACCCAACTGCGTCACAAGACAAGCCCTCACATGGAATCCTCAAGGCCAAAGGAAAAGAGGAAGACCAAAGAACACATTATGCCGAGAAATGGAGATAGACATGAGAAATATGAACAAGAATTGGATGGAACTAGAAAAGAAGGCCCAGGACAGAGTGGGTTGGAGAATGCTGGTCTGCGGCCTATGCTCCATTGGGAGTAACAGGCGTAAGTAAATAAGTAAGTAATTACTATCTGAAATTACCTCAAGTCTCTGAGTTGTTTTAGTTAAATAATGTTTATATTTCTAGTTGTGAAGATTCAATCCACTCAGTTCGTCTCTGTCGTGAATTTTTTCTTTCCGAAACTGTATTGCTCAACAGTAATTGCTACTATATATTGGAGTAAAGCCTAATAAGAATCTAGTTAAAATCAGTGTTGTTCAGTTATATTTATTGCTCGCCAAATATGTAGACAGAAATTTCAACATTTTAACTAGCAGTGGATTAATAAATACGAGGACACAAAACTATTTTATCAAGTTAATGATTATTGATGTACTCTGTATCAGAGCTGGTAAACTTTTTCTTAAGTTATAGAAATTCTTTGACATGTGGATATACCTGACATGGTTTGTAATCAGTCACGTTTTCTGTGCATTGTGAAACGAGCAATGTATCCAGTGTTGGTTGACTTCTGATATTTTTATCTTGCATTTTTTATACAAAATCTTGTTGTTACATAATCTAGTAATTTTTATTTTGGTATAAAATAAGTTTCATAAATTCTTTCGATTAGGAGTGGAGAAATGACATCAAATCGCCGTTTCGTCATAATGTATATCACCAATTAAAACCAGTACAACGACGTGTGTATATAGCTACAGACGACCCTAGTGTATTTAATGAAACTAAATTAAAGTATCCCAACTATATATTTTATGGTAATCGCGGACGTGCTAATTCAGCTTCTGTCTTCAGACGAAAAAATGAAGATTCTATTATGGGTGTGGTAACTGACGTGTTCGCTTTATCAAGAACGAATTATTTAGTTTGCACTTTTTCTTCACAGGTAAGTTAAATTTCTTGTTTTGATGACGATCATGGCAACTTGTAATCCCTTGTCTATGATGTGAAATTCGAACCAGCTTTGTCTGAATGCCGATCATTTCTTGATCCTACGTTGATTATAACTGACTTAACTTCATAACCTTCGAGTTAGACTTTAATTTTGTGATGTTGCGAGCTGATAATTGTCTGAGTAACATAGATTTATGTATAAAGTGGATAAAAATCGGTTTGTTAAGCGATGTTTCATTCTAAGTAAATTCGAGATAAAATGTTGACTATCCTAGTGATTTGAAATCGAAATACTACAGAACGTCTTTGAATATGTATTCGAAACGTTAACTTGATAAATAAGTGGGATTCGCTTGGATTCGGAAATTACTACTTCCTAGTTTCATTCAGTGTTACAACTTCTAATACATTTTGACATGTATGCATTTAGTTTCTAATGTGTCGGTCAAAATAAACAGATTTTACTGCCTAGTTATTTTGGACCTATCAGACCGGACTATAGGGCAGTAGAACAGTTGTACTGATCTAGTCCGAGCATCAACTAGTTCGCCTAAACTATAAATCTAGTACTAATGACCGTCAGCTAACCATTGATATGCTGAATGTGAGATAACATTCAAGAGTAACTAGTTAATTATTGGCCCAGAACTCAGTTTCCCATGATTGCTTGCCTGATAACCAAAATAGAGAACAACCCAACAACCAGATAGTATCTGATTATACGTTTCGAATCTATGAATACCTTTTATAATAATATAGAGCGAAATCGTGACCACACGTTAATAGAGTTAATGAATTACAATATGGGCACAACTGTGCCATAAATGGAAGAGAACTGAGTGGTAGGTCCTTCATAAATTAATTTTGATATAGGAAAGACGAAACAAGATCTTACAAGTGGGGAATACAAAAATGTGACGGTTAAACTATTTAAGAATTGAACAACAAAAAATGTCAACAATAACTTCATGTAGGATCGTTCCGAAAGTTCTCTTTCGTTTTATATTTATCCCGATATAGCAGTTTCATTGTAACTCACGATCTGTTGATTACTCCCACTGAACTAATTATTCATTGTTGATTTATAAGTTGTTTTTATAAATATCTTCACATTTTCTATGGAAGCTAGAGGATCAACATGTAGTGGTTTCATACTGACAAAAAGTACCAAAGGTAAATTCCAAAGCTTGTTTACCTCGTATTAGCCCCAGACACGATAAATGCAAAGTACTGAATTTCATTAATAGGCATTTATCTGTATATTGTCAACAGTCATTTTTGTAGCTATCCTTCCATTAATATTCTTGCTTTGTTCGTTTGTACTATTTAAACTTGGGTTTATTTAATTTGGTTATTTATTCTCTAAAGAATTGTCTTACACTGAGTCACGAAACTTCAGAAATTTAAGAACCCTATTTTTTTTCTTACTCATAAGGGTATTACAAATATATTATTTTTATTAATATCGATCTACTCAATCCTCAATTCATTTCACATGATCAAGTCAAACCATGGTATTGGCACCCATCCTCATTTCGTTCATTTATTTTAATAGTTTGGCTTTAATCTCCTTTCGATTTTACCCTATTCTTTCTTGTAACAGGTTTGTCGATTAGCTTACGAATTGATGCAGTCTAATCATTTAGAATTAGGTGATGCAAGTCAACAATTTCGTTCATTGGATGATATATATTACTTCGGTGGACAACAAACCTCACCATATGAAGTATTAATATCAAGCAAAGAACATGGTTTATCTCCTGGTGATTTAATCCACTTCTATGGTAATCATTGGAATGGTTACGCAAAGGTTGAAAAATTGAATACTAATCGTAAAGTAATGGCACCAGCATTTAAATTCTCTCCAAGATTAATAACTGCTCCTATGATCGGTGCACATGGAAATCGGTCTGAATTTATTATTGATTATAAATAATTGTATTTTTCTAAATAGGAAGATTATTTCGTTCATGTTTTTCTTCTTTCCTTTGTACCACTAACTTACTGATTTATGGTTTTATATTTGAAAGACATCGAACCTCATTTTTTTATTGTAGCGTCGATGCTCTCAGCTAAAGACTTTACAGATCAAGTTGAAGTTGATCTACATATATATGGCAAGTATTGTGGAGCGTATGCTTTTCTGACTTCATTGTATACACGCAAATGTTTATACACATATCCTGTGGTCTTGATGTGATATATATTGACTGCACAATTGTATGATTGGTGTTTGTTTGTTGGTTTTTTTTGTGTATCGTGTATTCCATGTGTTGTAGTGTAGTGTAGTGTAGTGTGTAATTTGTAAAATATGACTTATCAGATGAATTAGTTATTGTTTGTTGCTTTAGATAGTGATGTGGAGTACCAACAACAGATAGCCTTTTATCTTTTGAAAGATGCTTGAATGCAAATATCACCAAGTTCCACTGGCGGGATCCAATCAGTAATTATTTGACATTAAAAACGAAAAACATGTATTTGTAAAATGTCAGCGAATGAATTTGAAGTAATAGATCAAACGTTTCTCCTGGCAATCTGGTCCAATCGTTTCAAGGAAATATAATCAAGCATCAAATCTATCAAATAGAAATAGAATTAAGTACATGGTTCTCTGGTTAACTGTATGCTAAATAAGTCATCCAATCAACCTTAACAATGTTTATTTTAATGTGCAAGAAACATGTGGTGTGAGATGAAAAGTGTGTTAACCTAACAGATTTTGTGTATTCGTACGTGGTATGAGAAGAGATCTCATTCACTATATATTATTGCCTGTGATCAGTGAATTTTTAAGAAACACATAGATATGATATAAATCAAAAATATGTCACAACATGCATAAAATGAAAATAAATAAACAAAATAAAAAATGAAGGACAAACAGATGACTATCAGGACTCAATAACTAAGTGGATAACGTGATGGCTTTTGAAACGAACGGTACTGGGTTCGAGTTCTATAGTGAACATCAACTCTAGCTGACGAGTCCCAAATAAGATGAAAGATGCGTCCTAGATTCCACTATCCATCTTTGCTTAGAGTTAAGGCAATCCGCACATATGCCAGTAAGAGACTGATGAATTGCTGTCCTAAACAACAATGGGAAGATACAAGCAAACAACATCAAGTGAATTTGAAGGAATAAATGTTTGTGTCATTTTTATTTTTCCAGTTAATTGTTTAATATAAGACAACTGACTAGAACAGTTTGTATTTGTTGTTATTCAGAAAATGAATGGTGTATTAAATGAAATAGGGCGTTCAGGTTTATTTATCAGTTATTATTTTCCATGGAATAGCCATTTGTATTCCATCTCTCCTATTAGTACTATTTGGATTTGCCCATATATGTAGGGCTTCGACTATTAGTCTTTCTTTGTAAGAATGAAAACCTTTTCGAAGGATTGTGTCATTGAAATCAACTGTATGACCCTATTCTATTGAGTGTAATGCTATCGCTAATTTGTTTACAAGTGTTCTTTTTTAAGATCATCTGATGATTTGGGAATGCGCTTTTAGCATAGCTTGTGTTCCTTCTACCTGGACAGGTTAATTCTAAATATAAGTCTTTTCTTTCATAGATATTCTTGGATGTAATTTAGGTCCATCGTATACAAACATGAACCATATTATGCAATAAACAAAGCTGATTGCACCTTTTATGTTATAAGAAAGTTTAAGAATAGGCAAACATGAATGTTTAAAAGCACCAGTTTGTTGCTAGATCAACTGATCAAATAAATTTATATTTGATGTCGGATATTCGAAGGAGTCAGTCAGCTACAACGTAGGACTAGGCACATATATGCATTGGTCCAAGTTGCCATACCGCATCAGCACAACAAGATGAACACCGGATTCATAGCAGTGGTTAGGTCAAAGGTGGTAATATATAAGAGAAAGATTGCATATAGAGATATAGTACAAGAAGAAAAAATTGGTTCGTAGAAAGAAAGGTATGAAGCGATTTTAATCTCTTAGTTTAAGGGAAGACAGAGAGTGTATACACCGACGCCATTGTGATCAATTCTGAGCCATATCACACAGTCTCCAATCATTGATTATGATAGTCACGCGGACCCCAACCTTGTAGTCTGCATCTCCCGGCATGGCCCAGACTAGAAGTTAGTGACTTCAAGCACTGATGCCACGTTTTGACTTGGCCCCCTCTGGCTTTCTTCCATCCGTCCCCAACACTAGTCAGCATTGCGCGTCATGGTAATCGGTGTTCAGCCATACGCAACACGTGGCCCAACCATCTCAGATTCGCAACCTAATCAACTGATTTGCCACCATTCCCTAATACCCTGCGTCTAACCTCACTATAACTTACCTGGTGATCCCAGGAGATGCGAGCAATATTTCAAGGACATCTGTGGTCAGATACTAGTAGCTTACGAGTATCTTCTACTCTTAATGGGCATGTTTCGCTGCCGTAAATTAAAACAGCGAACTTCCACGCAGTATACTCGTCCTTTTATTGATAGACGGATATCTCGCCATAGGTGACGTAAGTTGGCAAAAGCCAAATGGGCTTTCCGAATCCGTGCTGAGATTTCGTCAGACACCAACTCATTAGGGTTGATCAAACTTACAAGATAAGTGAAGTTGTTAACGCGTTTGACTACTTCACTCCCTATCCTTAGTTCAGGTGTTGACGCAGACCAGTCGTGAAGCAGCAGCTTGCATTTAGAGGGAGAGAAGCGCATTCCAAACATTTTGGCATTGTTGCTCAGTGCTACCAAAATACTCAGTATTTAATCAGTGAATTTATCTGCGTATTCTAAGTCGGTAAGTAGACCTCCTGGTAGGAGATCAATGTCTGAAAATTCTGTCGACGAGGGCGTTATTTCCAGCAGTAGTTCTATGATGAAGTTCAACAAAAATGGAGAAAGTGGACAGCCTTGCTGGACACCACTTGAGGTTCGCCATAAGCTCTGACTCGACTAGTAGTGTTCGAGTAAAGAGCCTTCACAAGGTTTATGTACTTCTGAGGTACGCCTTTCAGTGACAGACAGTGTCACAGAATCTCGCGGTCTGCGGAGTCAAATGCTGCCTTTAAGTCAAGAAAGACCACCATTGTCGGATGCCGATAAGTATGCCTGTGTTCTAGAACCTGACGAGTGGTGAATATGTGGTCGATGCACCCACGACCCAGACTCCGCGTGTCTTAATTCTCGTCAATTAAGTGTATGTCTACAACTTCCAGTGTGGCTACAAGTTTAAGTGACTAGGAATCGCTTGCAACGTAATCCGTAGAAGTCGATCAGCATTAAAAACTGGACAAGCACAACATTGGTTACTACTCAGTAGTTATCAATTTAGATATCTCGGTTCTCTATGATTTCAGTCACGTAGTATCCTACCGAGTGTTTGTGGAAAATTTATATGTGGTGAGATAAGCGGACAATCCTATCGATTATTATTTGAGGTAGACAGTTGTGGTGACAGGTCTTGACTAGTGTCTTAGTAGATAGCCTTCATTAGGTTTACATTCTATTTCAATATAAAACAGCTGCAATTCTTATTACTAACAAAATGTATCAGTTATCTATGGCTCCAGGGATCGTAGCTCATTTCAATACATACTCATTGGCTAAAATGCTACTATGTATGTTCCTACCTGTAAGAGTATTGATTGAAGTAGAAGTACAAAATGTAGATTGGTAATTCACAAGAGAAGAGGAACGTGATACTCTCAAGTTCCTTAAAACCACTTACTGCCGATATAAATTATTATATTTATTTATGTAGTAATGACTCCAGTGCAGAACAGATATATATTTGAATACGTACATTTCGTACAATCGTTGATTGGTACAGACAGTCAGAGAGACGCAGAGAAGGAAAAGGAGAGGTGTGTGAGTCAGTTCGATCTAACCAATTGTGAATCGATATTTATAGTCAAAATAAAAATAAGCTAAAGACATATACTGAGTAAGATTAGGAATGCGCACACATACGTTCATATAAAAGTAAGGTTGATACGCGAATAATTAACAAGGTCAAAATGTGACTCAATTTGCCTGTTTGGAAGTTAGAATAAGCTGTGTGGGCTTGATACAGCAACCGAGCTGGAATATGAAGACCTCGACATCTGAGGGAAAGCATGGAATACAATGGACAGATCGGAATCAATTAGAAGATTTGGACTTGTAGATGAACCGGTCTTTCTATCCCATATACGTCAAAAAATGCAGGTCAAGACAGACTGTGTAGCAGCAGCCTCTGCATCAATAGGCCTCAACATACACAAAGGAAATCGCAACATCCTCAAATACAACACGAAGAATACCAACCCAATCACAGTTGTTGGAGAAGCTGTGGAAGGTTTCACGTATCTGGGTAGCATCATCGATGAACGTGGAGGATCAAGCAATATCGAGGTTGCAATCTTTAATACGAACTTCAAAACAGTTAGTTATATTGTAGGGGACTGAAACTTGGAGAGCTGCCAAACACTTCTCCAAAATGTACAAGTATTTATAAACGGTTGTCTACGCAAGATACTCAATGTCCATTGACTGGGTACAATCAGCAATAGACTACTGTGGGAGAGGACAAATCAGCTTCCAGCTGAAGAGGGAATCAGGAAAAGCAGTTGGAAGTAGATAGGACATACATTGAGGAAATCACCAAACTGCATTACGGGGCAAGCTGGAATCCTGAAGAGAAATGGAAAAGAGGAAGGCGAAAGAACACACTGCATCGAGAATCGGAGGTATATATGAAAAGGATAAATAGCAACTGGAAACGATTGTTTAGAACAGGATTGAATAGAGAGTGCTGATGAGCGGTCTATGCTTCTCCATGAGGGGTAACAGGCGTAAGTAAGCAAGTAGATAATACATACAATCTAAAATGGAGCAGTCTTTGACATGGTATTCTTATTCTTATGGTTTGACTCTTATTTCTCACATAAATAATGTGGAAACTTAGCATTTGATCGAATTACTTCTTGAAATATATTTTGCTGATAATATCATATGGTTAGAACGAACGTCATCTTCACATTATACACCATCTTATCAAATGTATTACTTCAGTCAAGTATAAAATGACTCTATATTCATAATCCTATAACTTTTAAGTTTAGTAAGAATCCATAGAACTGGAAAATGCGTCATTTTTTCATTGAAATAGATACTATTTATGTTAATCTAACTTGTTTTTGAAATGTACACAATGAAAGGTCAAATAATGCGAATTAATGATCTTATTGATTAAGATCATGTACCGATTGATGTTAGACCATCATTGAAAACCTGAAAGCACTAGACCGTCGTTTCGTTCTATTGTAGGACTCCTCAGCAGTACGCATCCATGATCCTGCCACGCGAGATTCGAATATAGGTCCTATCAGTCTCGCGCGAGAACCTACTAGACTACTGAGCCGGCATCCAACGGTGTTAATATCTAACCTGGATTCGAATCCCGCGAGCGAGATGGTGGATACACACTGCTGAGGACGAAAGGGTCGTCCAGTGCTTCCAGGTTTTCAGTGGTGGTTTGACACCAATCAGTTCATGATCGCAATCAATAATGATACTTCAGTTATGTTATAGAAATTTTAACTTGAAACTTTAATTTGCTATTTGTTTTCTTGTTCGTAACTAAACATGTACATGTACAGATAAATATATCCTTGAACTTTTCAAACATTCCATTGTTAATCAATAAAAGTAAATGTACCAATGTGATCTTCACTGGATGGATGATAAATAAACAAACCGAACTATTTGATGTTTATGTCTATTGATTCACCCTTAGGTTGTTGTTTTGGAATGTTTAGAGTTTTAGTTTGTTCGTCTATTTGTTAGTTCGTTTGTATAGTAAACGTAAACATTACTACTCAATAATAATTGATAAATAAAAAGTAATTTATTGATATATATAGATTAAAGAACGTAATTTACTATAATGTATATACATATACTAAACAACGAAGCGTCAGTCAACTTTAACGTAGGACCAGGCACATTTTCACGTCGGTCCAAGTTGCCACACTTCATTAGCATAGCAAGATGAACACCAAATTCATAGAAGTAGTTAATTCAATGGTCGTAATAAATAAAACAAAGATTACATATAAGGATATAGTACAGGGAGTTAAGGTCTCAACAAATACGGAGCTAACATGAAAATTACTCAAAGAAAGGTCGTGTGTGACCGGCCTCAAGCTGTTGTCTCTTAGTCAATGCGGACACGCTCTCAGGCCTCAGGGGAGTTGGAAAACCCTGATTCAAAGCCAATGGTGCACATGGGCTCCAGGATCCTGTAGGGACAAATGGCGTATGAACCAAATGGTTACTAGCTACCGTGGGACTGCATCTCCTGACGTTGCTCCACTGCCTTGTGGATTAGACCTTTATTTAAATGTCTCGGGGTGTGTCCCTCTAAGGAAACTACCTACTTCGGATTGGGTGTCCAGGCAGTATTCCAGCCCTCTCACAGATCGAATGATTTGTGTGGCGCACATATACTTGGTGCCTCCTTGTACCAATATCTACGTTTTCAAATAAATAGTGTAAACACGCGGAACAGATTTTCGACTTATATCAGCGTCAATCTCAGGGCACCAACAAGTCTGACGAGCAAGTGATTTTATTTTCTTTGCTCTGAGATAAGTGGAATGAAGGTCATCTAATACTGCAGATTGGATTGTAAGAGGCATTATTATTATTAGTATCCCTACCAAGTCTTCATCCGCTAAATGTCTTTACTTAGGATAGATTTTTTAGTCAGTGAAAACAGTTTGAGGAAAGCCTGCCTATTTAAACTGTTAAGTGTTTCTTAGTATAGTCTTGTGTCTTAGTTTCCATGCAAACTCTCTATTATAAACCAAGTCAAAAAGTGGGGACAATACTTTTGTAAAGTTAGGAATAAATTTGTAATAAAACTGAAGATTATCAGTACATGATCTAAGTGCTGAGAAACTCGCAGGTGACGGTGCTTGAGTCAATGTATCTAGTCGGCTCATATCACGTTTAATACCCTTAGCATCTATATTATAGACTAGGAAGTTGATAGAATTAAGTTTAAACTGACACTTGGATGAGTTTACGAACAAATTTGTGCCACAAAAGTGTCCGAATAAATTTAAGAGACGTTCATTATGTAACCTAATATTTTCAACATGAACTATGATATCATTCTGATACTATTTAACACTATTAAGACTGGTGATAACGTGATTAACAACCTTCTGAAATATTTCACAGGAGAGACAATTAATAGGAATTGCAAGAATTTATATCTGAGCGACCCGAATGATGTAATAGTAGTAGTTAGTTCACTAGAGATTTCATCCAATGAAATTTGCAAATACGCATCTTTCAGGTCTATTTGAAGAAAACAACTTGACCCTTGTAATTCCTTAAGAATATATTTAGTTTCTTCAGCGGCACTGTAGTAAACAGATATTCAAGAAGATGTGCTCTCCCTTTATTTCTAAGTGTACTAGGTGAATTTTTATACCTCCTATGGCCTTTGAGCAATGCAAGACAAGATCTTTGGTTAAGGTACTGTCAGAAATGCGTACTTCCGGCAATCTTGGGGTCTTTATTGCAAGCACATATGAGCTATACTCACTAACTAACAAAGTAACATTGACTAAACTACCCTCTTCTTTCCTCGCAGGAGTGTTAACTGTAACAATAATAAGTAGCTGGTGACCAGTGATGCCAGTAATCGCACCACGTTTAGATTTTAAATGGACATTATCATAAAGAAACAATTAATTTATCTTAGAAATAATTGACTCCATCCAACCAGTATTAAAAATAAGTGTTAGCCATTAATTTCCACATTAAATGTGAACTACTTCTGCAAGCGGTGGTGAGTGACAATGAATCTATCCTCCTGTCCAAATCAGCTGGTCTTGGTCAACCATCGTTCAGGGTTTTAGTAGTAAATGACTTGGAGCTTTGATAAGTTTTTTGTGTATGTCCAACCTTTCCACATTTACTACGACGTTCATAAAGAAATTGACATGAAATGCGAAGATAAAGCTTTTCATATAAAAGGCAGGATTCAATGCCCAAAGACGAATCAAAATGTTTTCCGAATTATTCACTTGTCTGAATGGATCGACACTGTTCTTGTTAGAAGTTTATACAGTGCAAAAAATCTATTCATATTCGATGATAAAACTTAATGTTGTCTCGTAACGCCATCACGAGGATCATTATTAACATCTTCATAAATAAAACAGAAATCTTTAGTTATTTGAAAAGTTCAGGAAAAAATTTGTATAAGTTGCTTCTGTAGTTTAAAATCGTTTATACCAGGAATCAGGCGGTCACAAAGTTGAATATTCAGCTGTTCACCGAAATTACACTTAGAAGCTTTTATCTGAAGTTGTAGTGTGAAATCTTTAATAGTCTGATTCGGAGCACGAAATAATTTATTGAACTATGCTCTTTCATGTGTTACGTGATAATGATATGTTAGTCACCTCTTTTGTTTGTTGAACGGAAGTAGAATAGATTCAGAATGGGTTTTGTGGAGAGTTTTAGAAATTTCACAAGTTGAAATCATGAGTCAGTTGAAGCTAGACCACCATTGAAAACCTGGAAGCACTGGACGGCCGTTTCGTCCTGGTATGGGACTCCTCAGCAGTGCGC